CGTAGGCGTAGTTAAACACTGGCCAACAAAGGGTAATACGTAAGCTTAGTCGTAGCGAAGTAACGTAGTTAGAAATCATAATGTATATAATTATCAGTTTAAATGATGGTGATGACAGATTTTGTGTAATTTGATTAATAATGCATAACGATAAGTAAGAAATAACAATCTAGTATAATCTTGAGCAAAACTTGTTCTTAATAAATATGTCTCATGAAAATCGTGTATCAGTATAGACACATAAGGAAAAAATATGCATTAGAAAAGCAAAATATTAAAAGACAAGCAAATATAAATATGATAAATAAGAACCTCTGAGCAGATTTAAGATGCAGCACGAATTTTGAATAGAATACCTATTACGATTAAGTTTTTTAAAAAGCTTAGCGTTGGTTACTGAGATTGTAGAATTGACATGGAGGTAACAAGAAATTGGTTGGTTACGACAATTATACGCGGGGTTAGGGGCGTATAAAAAAAAGAAAAGATACAGGTTTTGTGACAATAATTATACACCAATCCAAAATTAATTCATTCATTCAAATTAGCCCATCATTTTTTTTTTAAAATTGTACGTACATATACGTACCAGTATACATGCAAATTTCTAAACATTTGTTCGTAATGCTGTACTTATTTGTAACTGTTAAGCGTGAGTCCCAAATCCCTTCTACAATATTATCAGATGTTTTATTCGAAATAGATGATGATCTTACTTTTCAAGACCTTTTACAACAAGCTGATCTTGAGTATAAAAGTAGTGAGATTGTTAAGGTTGAAGTTCGTTGTGTGGGAAACAAACAATACAATACAGTTGCATCCGGAGTTAAGAGTAGTTTGGCATTGTGCCGAAAAGATGAAAGAAATGTATCACATATTCGATTTACCATTAGTGATGGATCTATTCAATCAACTAGATCAACTAGCTCAAACGATTATTTAAATGCATTTAATATCATGATGGAACAGTCTAGTATACGTTCTCTTCCTCCCCCAAAATCTGGTAATACCAAACGGGATAAATTATATAATGATATGTTATTTATATTGCGAGAAAAAAATTGTGGATGGTTAAATGGAAATGAAACTACTGTAGGGAAGCGATTTTTAGAAAGTCTTAATGCTTTGCTTTGGGAACTTGATGAGCATCATCAGAAATTACAAGATCGGGGTTGTCAAATTCCTGAATTTGTTTTATCTTTACATGGATATCAGAATAAACAGTATTATAAAAAGGAATCTCATCATAAAAAAGGAAATTTGCAACGTTCTAAACTAGATTTATTAGTAAAAGGCATTGAAAATTGTATATCTCAACCTTGGGCAGCAAGTGATTTGTGGAGTGAATTTATAAGAGAGGTTTTTATGTTAATTTCGTGTGTTCAAAAATATATGGAATATCTAGAAAATGTTAACAGAAGTGTTAATACAATTCGTAATGCTATGCAACCTGCACGTAATCCATTAGATAATAGTGATATTAAGATTCTAATAGAATGCTTTAGACAAGATCTCAAAGATTGTTAT